GTGGCAAAAGGCTTTATGCAAAGAGAAGGGATTGATTACAATAAGACCTTTTCTCCAGTCTCATGTAAAGTTTCCTTCAGAATCATAATGGCATTAGTGGCACATTACGATTAAGAATTACATCATATGGATGTAAAGACGACATTTCTCAACAGAGACTTAGAGAAAAATGTTTACATGGCACAACCGAAAGATTTTGTTATGGAAGGAAAAGAACGAACGGGATGCCGTCTAAAGAAATCCATTCATGGATTAAAACAAGCTTCAAGACAGTGGTACTTGAAGTTTGATCAGACAATAAAAGATTTTGGGTTTTAAAGAGAATGTAGAGGACAATTGTGTCTATACAAAGTAAAGATAATGTAGAGGACAATTGTGTCAATACAAAGTTTAAGAATGGGAAGTTTATCTTCCTTGTCCTGTATGTAGATGATATCTTACTTGCTAGTAGTGATGTCAGTCTACTACTGGAGACAAATAAATTTGATATGAAAGATCTTGGCGAAGCCTCGTTCGTTCTAGGGATCGAGACTCACCGAGATAGAAGAAAAAGGGTATAAGGACTGTCATAAAAGACATACATGGAAAAGATCTTAAAGAAATTCAGTATGCACAAATGTAGTTCATCACCTGCTCCTATAATCAAGGGCGACAGATATGGGGATTTTCAATGCCCCAGGAACCAATATGAGCTCAATCGATAAAGTAAAAGTGGTTCCATATGCTTCAGCTGTCGGAAGTTTGCAACATGCTCAAGTATGTACGCGCCCTGACTTGGCATTTGTTACCGGGTTTTAGTTGGCAGATTCCAGAGCAATTCTGGAATAGAACACTGAAATTAGTAAAGAAAGTCTTGCATTATTTGTAAGGAATGAAATGCCTCATGATGACATATAGAAGATCTCATTCACTCCACATGGTGGGATATTCAGATTCTAATTATGCGAGAGTGAATGCATATCCAGACGTGGATTTTCTATCATCTCGCAAAGGGGAGCTATTTTATGGAAAAGCTCAAAGCAAACTGTCACTACATCGTCCACAATGTATGACAGTTTGTAGCGTGTTATGAGGCAACGGGCAGATGAACTAACTAACGAAGTTCATACCCGGTTTGAAGGTGGTTGATGACATCTATAGACCACTAAAGTAATACTACGATTATAATCTGGCAGTACAGGATGCTCACAACATAAGTCAAGTGGTGCTGCCAAACACATTGACATAGAGTATTATGTTGTGAAAGATAAAGTCCGGGATCAAGTCATAAGTCTTGAGCATATAAGAACGAGAAAGGATGCTCATGATCCGCTTACAAAAGGCTTACCACCCAACATGTTCGAGAGGACATGGTGTTCGGAGAACATGTAGCTAGCTTGGGTTTAAGGGAAAGCTTAAAATATTCCCGGACAAAAGAAGGCCCAAAGATAAGTATCTATTTGAATGCAGTAGTGAGTTGTAGTCATTAAGTCTATCGGCAATGGACCGTGACGATGAGACATGCTCTATGAGCTAATCTATAATGGAATGAATAAAAGTAAATGATATGAAAGTGAAAGATGGAATGAGATCAAGGGGGAGAATGTTAGTTGATCTCCACCAATAGGTCCAACGGCCTATTGGGCCCTTATCTCTGTTCCCTGATCGGGGGAGCCCAACCCTAATCCGGTTGGTGGGCCCCTGTCGCACAGCACACATAAAAGGAAGGTGGGGTGAGGGCTCGGAGAACGAGGTTCAACGGAGCCGCCACCCACCTACAGAGAAACCCTAATCCGATCCTAAAGTGTGCTGCCAGCGACGGGATAAGCCCGCCACCACCGCCGCCGTCGCCTATGCAGGGACACCACCGTCCCCTCTGGATCTCCACGGCATCGCTACCTCGCCTCCTCACCACCGTGCCGAGCACCGGCTTCCAGGAGGCTGCCGTGCAAAGGCGAGCAGAGGAACCCTAAGAAGTCTACCCGGATCTACGGGTTACACAGAGAGGTACACACATCCATCGATTCTGACACATCATACATCATGCTGTATGATGAGGGGAGTGAGACATATATTTTCTTCAGAGCGTGTTTAGTTCCCTAAATTTGGGAATTTGGGCTACTGTAGCACGTTCGTTTTTATTTGGCAAATAGTGTTGTATCATGGATTAATTAGGCTTAAAACGTTTGTCTCGTAATTTTCAACCAAACTGTGTAATTAGTTTTTTTTCGTCTACATTTAATGCTCCATGCACATATTGCAAGATTCGATGTGATCGATACTGTAGCACTTTTTTGAATTTTAGGTAGCAACTAAACACGCGCTCACTCCTTGTGCAACCCTGCAGGCTGCAGAGTCTAATGCTCTGCAGCCGTCCATTCGCCAGGCACAGGTAGGCCGAAGGCGTCCTGGACGAACATCCAGTTCGAGTTCCTATCTGAGGGCCCTTGTTTAGTTGGACCCTAAAATCTAAAAAGTTGCTATAGTACCTGTCACATCGAATGTTTACGGTTTGTGCATGGAGCATTAAATGTAGACGAAAAGAAAAACTAATTGCACAGTTTGGTGGGAAATTGCGAGACGAACGTTTTAAGCCTAATTAGTCAATGTTTGAACACTATTTGTCAAATAAAAACGAAGGTGCTACAGTAGCCCTAAAATCCAAATTTCGCGAACTAAACAAGGGGTGAAGAGTGCAGGGCAAGGATACACACGTCCGTTGCTGTGGACAGCCGGAATCAAGCCAGGCGAAGGCACGAGGCGTGTGAATGTGTGATCATGCTTCATGCCCCCTGCCCCAAGCCCCCAAGCATGGTTTGGGTTGGCGTTGGTTAAAGTTAACTATATAGGTATGTTCGGCTGGTATTAAAGTCGATTAAAGCTGTTTTATTGTGAGAGAAAAATACTGTAGATTCTAGCTGATAAGTCGGCTGATAAGTTCAAGCGAACAGGTCGTGGCGTTATTGTTTCCTGTGGTTGCGCCAGGTTGAGGGCGTGAATGGCTTGATTGAAGATGAGTAAAATGTACCTTCAAGTTCATAGCACATGAACGAGGTCCCCAAGCATTAGTGCATTACCAGATACAAAAGGCTCCGTTAGATGTAGACATGAATTTTCAATGTAAGGAACTCCGTCGATCCTGAAATATAAGAGGTTCAAGTTTATCTTAAGTCAAACATATATTAAGTTTGAGCAAATTTACAAAGAAAAATATTAACATCTATCACATATCAAAGAGATATATTATAAAATTATATTTCATAACATATCCAATTAAGCTAATTTAAAGTCATGTGTAATTTTAAATTTTGTATAAATTTAGTCAAAATTTTATAGTTTGACTTAGGATAAAACTACCCTGTTCGTTTCGCTGAAATTTGGCTTATGCTGTTTATTGTGAGAGAAAAACACCGTTCGTTTGCTGAAAAGTAGTACTAAAATGCACCTTCAAGAAAATCATCTATGGCGGAAATCAAATAGTTTGCCTTGTATTTCTGAGTTAGCACCGAAACCATATCATGCAATAGTTTGGAGCACCGAAACCATATCATGATATCAAGAATCTACTTGCTGCTTGCATTCACTGGAGTTGCTAAATCGATAAATTTGGAAATCTCTTAAGAGTTGCTATTACCAGATGCAAAAGGCTCTGTCAGATGTCTGACATGAATTTTTTTCAATATATGATAGTAAAATGCACCTTCAAGAAAACTATCATCTATGACGGAAATCAAATATTTCTGCAAGTTCATATTGGAAGTATTTCATCCGTCCACAAAAGAATGCAATTATGGTATCTATGTCGGTCAATTGAGTTCAAGTTTAACTAAGTTTATAATAAATAGTATTAGCATTTATGTCTCTAAATAAATTTATTATAAAAATATATTATATAACTAATCTAATGGTACTTATTTTATATGAAGAATGTTTGTACTTTTTGTGTAAACTTAGTTAAAGTTCAGACTGCTTGACTTCTCGAAATCCGAGATTTGCATTCTTCTGTGGGCAGAGGTAGTACTAAAAAATCAGAAATGAATGCGCACTGAGTCACTGACATCGACGACAGAAACTTGGCCGCATCACACATGGATAAGATTCTTTCACAAAAGATTGACAGTGAATTCACGGACATGAAGCTATCGAAGTACTCAGGAACAGCCAAGGAGCTGTCCGGGCAGAGAGAGCAGAGGACAAGGGTGATTGTTCTTGTCCCCAGCAACTGACTGGAAAACCGGATGAAATTGTTCTAGTCAGATAGTGACCGAGACAACTCAAGGTCAATGATTTGTAGCCAAACATATCCTCGACTAGTCAACAACGATTTACAGCCCAGCAAACCTCCAAACGATTCATAGCCGTGCAAACCTCCAACCGACAAAGACAAATTTCGCCTTAGGAAAATGTAAGCCCAATAAGGATGAAAGCTTTGCATTCTCTGGGCCACTGGGTCGCCTAGGGCGGTAAACTAGAACTAGGTATACCAGACTTGTTTTCCTCAAAAAAAAAAGGTATACCAGACTTGCATCCCTTCAGCCATGGTCATGGAATAGGTTACACACTTGTTAAACTTGGCAAACTGATAGCACACAGTTGCACCACAGCTCCAGCAAGGCTTCATCGAAGGACCTGTAACTTCTTAGCAAACTTCAGGGTTAAAAAAAATGGAAAGGATGCAACTGCAACTGCAACTACAAACACAAGGGCTGAGGACAAACAGAAGTACAGAACGTACAATTCCTTGGAAGGAAAATTACATGTTTTGACTCAATTTGTTTCAACGTACACGCCACAGAGGAAACGTGGCACAAAACATCCCCCCTATATATCAGACTAAATTATACAAACAAGCAGGACAGTGGCTCAAAGGATGTCAGATGCAACGATTAGGGGGCAAAGGTACAATTTACAATGGTTGCCACCAAATGCATCCATCTCCAGCCTTCTCAAGCTCTAACGTGGTGAAATGTTACTGCACGCTGCGTTTCAAAAAAACGCCAGACCAGATATTTCATCAACCACTAAATAGCCCCACTTAGTTTCCTGAGCTTCGGAGGGAGAAAATTGTTCGAATCAGCATTCCTCTTCGTGCCGAAATTGACAGGAGCAACACCAATAGGTGTGATCGATGAAGTTGTGGTGTTTCTCCGAAACCTCCCCATGTTCCAATATGAGAAAGGTTCATCATGTTGGCTGCTAGAGCTAGGATCATGCCTTGCAAGATTTGGTTGTACTGGTATTGCACCATGCTGTCTATCATGCAGATCCTGCAACAAATGCTACGCCAATGTTTAGTGAAGGAACGCTGCCATGTTAACGGTTAGTTCATGGAAACCAGGTTTCTCTATCAGCTAGTCATTCTCAGCAGTACAATGTGGGTGTTTCGATACCAAAAGACCCTTCTACCCAAACAGGCCAGTTATACAAAAATACCAGATATATTGTTACGATAAACTCTATCTGGATCTGTATGTAACTAATCATGAAGCGATCATGTTTGAGAAACCACATCATCTAGATTGGAATGAGGAGTTCATCACAATATCACATGGACTTTGGTGGAAGCTCATGTGATTGTCAGGGATGAGATGGTCATAGATAACCATTCCCCATAACAAACAAAAAAATAAGGAGTGAGAAGATGATGAATCGCCCCATTCCTCAAACCAAATACCCCATATGTGATTCAGCAAAGGGGAGTTGGTAACCAGATCGTGCAACAACAATAAAGTCTCTACAATCACTGGCAGTTAGCGCTCCTTATCCGTACCTAGGAAAACAAATGCTCAGAAAGTACATTAAGATGTTTCATTTCATTTGCTTTAAGTTATGGACCATCAACAATAGTTTTACCATGGAAAATTATGTTTCAACTTTCAACCAGGATCTTTCTCACATTTTTGTTAAACTGATTATGCAGGTTCTAGAGTATTCAGGATCCAAATGACATTGGGGGTTATTTATTTTGTTGTTATGGGATGTGTGTACCCCTAACAACCTGCAAAGAATGAAGCCACATCGCCCATAAAAATAGATGTTGCCAAGTAATGAGAAATGAAGTTGAAACTCTTACATTAAGTGTTCTTATGGGAACCATGTCCAAAGCATGGCTAGGATATGCAGCACCTACACAAATGGAAATTTTGTCACCACAAGATTTGTTAGATTTAGTGAGAAATTAAGACTTTGTGTGGTGGCCTGAGTCTCTGAGGTCTCTGATGCTCAACTGGATAACAACAGTGAAAAATGATGTGCAAAATAATTTTGTTGCAGGTTAACATATCTACTGTATGTTGTCATGTACCCGGTACCTCTATATTTCTCTATATAAGCATGAGGGAAAATCTAGAGAACAGTGCAAGAATTCCCAAGGATGATTGGAAAGTAAAGAAATGGATACATGTAGTTATATTTCTCTATATAAGCATGAGGGACTATCTAGAGAACAGTGCAAGAATTTCCAAGGATGATTGGAAAGTAAAAGAAATGGATACATGTAGTTCACATAATATTCCCAGTAGTCACTAACTCAGTACATTAACTATGAATATAAAAACGAAATCATAGCACTGTCGCCAGAAAACTTGCTCCCATAGCACTGTCAAGCATCCACTTAGACAAAGGAAATTTCTGAAAGGTGTTATGCGCTTGATAAATTCAGAGGCCGCATGGTGGTGAGGAAACCAGACACAAGGACTACGTAGTTGTAGGCATCGAAGACACAGACGAAACCAATTACATACCTGCAGCTCTGGCCGACAGCCGGGCGTCGCGGGGGTCGCCGCTGCCGACCATCTGTCGCGACAGCCCAGGAAACCCACCACTGCCGCTGTGGCTTCCGAGCCCGATCAACGGCCTCAAAGGCATGACCTCCTCGAAATCCGCGACAGGCGGCAGCGGCGCTGGGAGACGGAAGAACGGCGACAGCATCGTTTGGCCGCCGCCGACGGCACTGCGACCAGCAGCGGCCCCAACAGAAGAGGCGGCGGCAGCGGCGTCCCACGCGCCGGCCGGCGCGCCCAGCGACGGGCGCGGGCTCCAGCGGAAGGGGCCGAACCCGGTGCTGCGCGGCGGGAGCGGCGGCGGCGGCGGCGGCGTGCGGGACTCGTCGGTGGAGATGGCGTCCTGATGTGCAGGCGGCGGCGCGCGGATGTGCAGGGGCGGGGGCCGCGGCGGCGGGTTGGGGGAGAGGTGGAGGCGGCGGATCCAGACAGAGGCGAGCGGGTCGGGCGCGGGCGGGAGGCGCTGGTGGTGAGGGGGCAGCGCGGAGCTGCGGCTTCCTACGGAGCTGCGGGGCGCGGGGTGATCCGACATGGCGTCGTCGGCGGGGAAAGTGGAGGACGGGGAGCCGGTGAGGGATAAGTATTGTGTGAACGAAGAAAAGAATATTTTCCTTTTGAGATGGACGAAGAAATGAAATAGAGAAAATTCCTTCATTGCCATTGAAAACTATAACAATTTCTTCGTTGACACTCAAAATTACATGATCCCTTCATTGTCATCGGTTTTAGATTTTCCGTTCCCTCGTTGCCACTGCTGTTACAAAGGAGTCACGGCGTGACTTCGCTCCCGCGGGAGTGGGAGTAGCAAACGATGGTGGCGGGTTCCCATGATTCTACCTCTGAGGAGTCGACGACACCGGCGTGGGTGGTCGGTGCTGCCGCTCCTTGGCCGCGGATCGCCCGCGTCGTGGCGGCCGCCCGCCTGCGTCGGGGTGTAGCCCGGGCTTCGGCATTGCGCCTCAGCGATCGAACAGGTGTGTCGCGTGCATGGCAAGCAAGACGACGCGCGACGGCGGGCGCTGGTTTGCCGCCCGGGGATGAAGTTCAAGCGTCGTCGGCGGTGGCCTTGGCGCAGGCGGTAGCGAAGTGAAGAAGTTGTCGGTGTAGGTGAAATTCACGAGTCGGCGAAGACAGACTCCGCAAGACGACGGCGCCCTTGAGACGGTTGCGGCGACGTCGAGCTCCTCGGCAATGACCATGTTAGCGATCTTGGCGGGAGCTGTCCCTCGCAGTGGTTGACGCCGACGTCAAAAGTCGGTGAGCTTCCGGGCGGCCGACTGCGGCGGGACGCATCCGTGAGCTCGTCGGCGATGAGCACGATCTCGTTGAACATGTCGGCCATCCGTCCGATCTTTGGGCGGATGCACCCGCCGAGGCGGTTGTCTTGCGAGCACGACGACGGAGGTCGGGGAGTTCCCGAGTTGGCGGGATCGGGTTGCGAGGCGGTTGGAGTTTAGGAAGATGGCGTCGGCGCAAGCGGTCGAAGAGCGCCGCAGGATGCTACCCTCGAAGTTGTTGAAGCGGAGGTCCAGTACTGCAGCGGCGGCAATGGCAACGGCACCACCTCCGGAACCCGCCCACAAGCGGTTGTTGCCGAGGTCAAGCTCGTGGAGGTGCACGAACGTGCGTGGGATGACGCCGCAGGCGGTTGGAGTTGATGTGAAACAGCGCCCTTGGTCCGGACGCCCAGCCGACGGACGCGGAAAGGTACCCGCGATGTCGGCGTGGTTGAGGTCGATCCGGCGACCACGATGTCGTGGGAGGTGCTTTGCCGGAAGGGCGCGCGCAGAAGACGCCAACGCCAGGCGCAGACGTTGACGTTGGGCCCCACCCAGTTGGCGGTGAAGTTGGAAGGGTCGGAGAAGATGGCGGTGCGCTTCCACCAGCGACGGACCTAGGATTTTATCACAGGGTATGCCATAATTTTTCTATGTAATTCGATAAACCATTTACAATTTGGTAAAACTATATTCTAATTCGATAAAACCAACTACATTAAATAATATGATGAGCCTTAAATTAAAAGATTAAGCTACAAACGACAATAAATCTCGATATAAAATGTTCAAATGAAACACAAATAATTCATAATATAGAATCGATTTGTTTGGAACTTTCGGTTAGAAAACTCACAAGTCACAGGATATGATGGACTAGTGACCGGATGCTAATTATTGATCTGATGCAGTGATGCGGATGAATGAACTCACGAACTGGAAAAAAATGACTCATATATAAATAATTAAAATTATTTAATTACACAAGTAAGAAGAAGAATAGAAGATTAATCTTAAACCCGCTGCCATTTGTGCGTCTCAATTATCTCGCCGAAGCGGCAGTAGTGAGACGATAACGCCAGGTGCCCTCCGCGTCGAGCCGCCGCGGCATCCCGAAGTCTGGCAAGTCGGCGGCCGTCGTGGCCGCGTGGGCTGTGGGCGCGTGGCGTAGTTCCGTGATGGCGTCGATGTGACCGTGCGGATTTGACTCTGCCGCTTGCGAGTTGCGACGATCCAGCGGGATGGTTGCAGGCGGTGCGCGAGAGTCAATGCGTGGGACCGGTGGGGTTTCGAGCCAGGTGGAGCGGAGTAACTGCTCCGAGCACCGTATCTGCGAGTTCGCGTGCCGCACAGAGATGCCAAACGGTGGGGCGGCGCGGGTACTCGGGCGTGTCTATCGGTAGTAAGCTTTTTTTCTTTTTTTTTCTTACATAAAATTTATATTCGTTCACTTACACTGGACCCCGGGGTATGCCGTGGCCCACCCGGCATACCACGGTGGTCCGTCCATAACTTCCACGCTGCGGTATGGCGTAGGATGCCCGGAGGCGAGGTTCGGGAACGCCCACGGCAACGTCGTCGGGCGGGGCGCGAGCGAGGACGCCAGACGACTCAGAGACTTCGAGACGACCCCCCTCCACGCTACCGAGGGGCAAAGGCGGCGGCGGCAGCGGCAGCGTGAAGGCACGCAGTGCGATCCAAATGGAGGAGAGGCAGGGAATGCGAGCCGGACGACGGGTCGGTCTTGTGATCTAGAGAGAGAGAGGGGGGGGAGAGGGAAGCGTGGAGCGGGCAAAGTGGCATTTAGAGCGGGCACATGGGGGGTGGGAGGGGCGTGTGTGTGTGTGATTGATGAAGGCAAGCACAGCAGGGCTCGTCACACGTAGTCACATGGGGCCACCACCCGCACAAGAAGCTCATTTCACTCATGTCGATTAGTCCTCACTCATCGGTGTGTGTGTGTGTATGTGGGTGTGTGTGGTGGTCTCTTTACCATGCTGCTTGAAAGCAACCGTCCACGATCCACGGAGGAGGCGGCTGGGCGTGGGAGATTACGGCGAAGTCACATCGTGACTCTTCTATAACAGCAGTGGCAATGAGGGAACGGAAAATCTAAAACTGATGGCAACGAAGGGAACATATAATTTTGAATGTCAACCAAGGGATTGTTATAGTTTTCAATGGCAATGAAGGAATTTTCTCAATGAAATATCAGCACGGCGCCAGGCTCAAGTGCGGACCCGAGAAAATGTGAATTATGCCGTCGTGGGAGGTGGGCTTTACTCCGTCAGTTCGCTTGCTCGTAAACGATCGTAAATTTTCAGTCGAAAACAGTGTTTTCCTCTTACATCAAACCAGCCAGCAGTAAATAATCCACGATATGATACGGCCTCTCGAACAGGCTGACTATTTTGTAATGCCGTAACGAGGCTTCGCTCTTTTAACATTATGAAATAGGTACGATCGCTAAAATGCCATTTCGTAAGTTTAGAGCTAAGAAAAATGAAAAATAAAATTCTCTTCTAGATCTGCTCCTGCCCTTTTTTTCTTCTTTTCCCGTGAGCACATGGACGGACAGAACGGGGAATGAAGAAGCGGATCACGCTCCTCCGATTCGTCTTCTCCCACGTCGGGACGTCGGACTGGTGGTACGCGCAGGATACCTTGCATCACAAGTAGAAGGTCTCGAGCTCCTCCATCTGCTTGGCGAGATCGCAGAAGAGGGCGTGCACGCGCTTGCAGTCCACGGTCTCCATCTCCGCAAACTGCTTGAGCATGGCCATCACCTCCGAGAGCTCGCAGTAGAGTTGCGCGCTCTCCTTAACTAGCCTATGACAGAGTCATTGGAAGATGAGCATTCATTATTTGGCTCTTAACAAATTCACATGGCAATGCACGGAACGGGCGGCATTGTCTACATGCATGATCCAACTTCACAAAGACAAATTACGTGCATGGCCGCGGAGGAAGAGGAGATGATGCAGCTGGTTGACCTTGATGAGAAGCTGATTGATCGTCATCTCTCTCCTGGGCGGGTCCTTGGTCACGAGCGCCACCACCCTGTGTGCCTCGGCACCCACCGCATCCTCTTGTCTCCCGTTGAAGGAGGCGATGTCGTCGCATGTTGAAAGGTCCTTGTTGGTTTTGGTAATTGAGTGACAACCTAGGTGGACTAATTGTGTTTATGTGAGATACACAGGTGATTAGTCCACAGGTATATGTGTATGAGCAACATATGCCATGGAGGTGAAAATGGCTTGGAGATGTTGCAAAGCTCACACATGTGATGATGAAGGAGCTTATTGCACATGAGACATGACATTGAGTCATGTGATCAAGGTGGAGAAGATCAAGACAAGACTTGGCTTGATGGACCAGTTGCAAGCGTGAAGGGCAAGTCAAAGGCTTTGGAGTGATGGACCGCGTGGCGGTGAAGCTTGAGCAAGACTTGGCGCCCGATGGACGATAGCAACGGTGAAGAGCAAGTAGAGTCAAGATCGATGAACCAATATGATCATGTGATGATATGAAATGGATCATATCATTGTTGATCGTGTTGGTGCATGTGTTGCATCGACATTGAAGGAGATGGAATGGAATGCGCATGAGCAAAGGTATAACCTAGGGCATTTCATTTCACCGGTCATAGGTGTGTAGAGAAGTTTATGACCGGGTTTAGGATAGATGGCCGTACTATCAAGAGGGGCAAACTTGTTTGCATATCGGTCATCTAGTGCCACTCGAAAGTGATCTAACTTTGCATTGTCGCTAGGATCGAGTGGCGTGGCAAGTTGAGTGGCTAACATCCTTTGGGAAATGATTGTGAAAATGCTAACACACATACACTTGGTGGTGTTGGCACATTTACAAAGGAGGTGGTGTTTGCGGTGGGAGATGGGTTTGGGTCCCTCTCTCCTCCCGCCGAAGCTGCGAGGTGGGATTCGGCGCTTTGGGAAAATAGAATGCCTATTTTCTATTACATGGGATGCAAGTTCTTGTGGTTAGCACATTGGAGCAAGGGTGATGAAGTTAGAAGTGAAAATGAGTTAGTCGCGAAGATGTTTGGCGTCGGGCCAATTGATCGGACGCCGGATCTGAATGCACCGGATCTTTGGCAGTGCTACGTGCTGTCAGTGACGTCGATGGCGTAGAAGCTAGAGTGTGACCGGACGACTGGCCGCGTCCGATCAAGTGTGACCGGACGTGTCCGGTCGAGGTCGGCACTTTTATCTTGGAAGCGACCGGACGCCGAGGG